AGAGAGAGAGAGAGAGAATGTTTATAATATACGAAGCAAAGTAAGAAAAGAAAGAAGGAAAAACGACGAGGACGAGCTTATGTAAACGTCAGATCGGATCGCAGAAGGCGTCGTGGCTACATTTCACTCGCGACTGTTGGCCGGGAGGGTTATATAAGGCCGGGCAAGAAAGGAGATATCGCTTAGATCGACGTTACACCCGAGTAAATCGGCACGAGTTCCGCCGGTGCTCCTCGGAAGAGGGAAGAACAATGGTGGTGCCTCGCGAGACGATGATACCGCAGTGACGTTACACCGGTCGTCCCACTCAATTTGTAAGCTCCCATTGTTTCCACTCCCCTCGAAACTCGAATTTTCGATGCTTTATTTGGTATCGGGACAGTTTGTTGTTGGATCGTCATCGCGGTGGAAGGCAAGGAAACGAATGCATTTTATGAATCCCGTTCGTTCTTTTCGAACGAACGTTTCAATTATTGTTGTAAATTGTAAAATTAAACGAATAGCGAAAGAGCCTGTACCTAGTAGATACTCGAGAAATAATCAAGCTCTAATTTATACCTTATATGGTGTTATTGTTAAAAACTTTTGTGACAATCTTTAAAAGCATTTCTTCCCTTTATTTCGTGAAATTTTAGTTTAAAAGTTCGAGCGAAACGCACATACCACTATCTCGAGTACTGCAATCTCTTGCCTCGTAGCTACACGTATCATTACTTTTGGTCACTGCCTTTCCGATAGCTTGCTCTAACCATAAACCTGTTATCAACCTGTCGATGTGCTACTTCCTTATGTATTTGAATAAAACAATGGAATAAACAATGGAACGATACTGTACGGTAAGAAATGGAGAAAACTTTATGCCAAGAATTATGTCTCGCAATTATTAGATTTCTTTCGTTTTTTTTATCATTTTCAATTCCCACGAATTCGCTGAAAACGATGAAAAAAAATCGATCTATTATCATTCCAAACCCGATTTACCTTTCACGCATTCCTTCCAAACCTTTGATCCCCTTGATTCGATCTCTCTCCAATGTATCCAATTACGAATGTATCCAAACACGTACCCGAATCAATCTAAATCCGGCCAGTGATCTCGTGCGACCGCGATCGAACGAGCGCGATTTCGAACGCGACCAAGATTAGCTACACGCACACAGGGAATATCAGTCAAACGTCGGGCAGCACGTGCTGCGATTCATTCTGCTGTCATTGCGTGAATAACGCGTCCCGAAATATTCTCGACACGTGCCGCCCGACACGTGGCCCGAACTCGCGCTTCGAGGAGAAGCTCAGGAGGCGAATTTCAAAACGCCGAGAGGTGTGAACAGAAACCGCGTCCACCTCCGGATCGAATCGTTTCTCTTTTCTTCCCGTCACCGATCGTACGTTAATTGTCGTGCTTAATTGGGAAAGTATGCAGATTTTTGAAAGAGGAAGATAAATTGTTATTAGATAGATTTTATTCTAATATCGGGAAATTCGAAAGAATTATTTTCAGATCAAATTAACTAGCACCGGTCCGTGCTCGTACACGAAAACTATATCTGTGCGCAAGAAAAAAATCAAAGAGACGTAGGATGAAAGGCCTCTTCCCCTGGATCAAAAAAGTGCTGGATTTCGGCGGAACGTGTATCGATTCGTGCATCGCGCGCCGATGGTACGCGAGAGTAATTCGATATAATCGGATTATGAGAGCGGCGATATGCGGCCGCAAAAGTGGTCGGTCGCGTCCGCGGCGAGAGCACTCAGTGTTTTGCGGCCTGCCGAGGGGTACGCGTATTAGATTATAAACTTCACAGACCGCAGCCGCTTCTATCCCTCGCCAACGACACATTAGTCTCTCCCTGTCCTCCGGGGAGATGATCGCGGCTATCCTCGCGAGCCCGCGCCTCTCTTAACCGGCTGGAATTTCAACGAGCAAAGAGCCGCCTCGAGCTCTCGATCTGCGGTGGGCATCGCGTACTTGTGCGCGATACGCACATTGTGTATATATGTCGCGTATAAGCGAGGGATGGATGGAAGCGATACGTGGAATAAATTGTCCTCTCTTCGTTTTAAATACGGTGGAAACGGATAGGCTCGATCGTTTGTACGGCAAGATGAGTGAGAATGGAATTTTCAATTTTTGTAATTGTTTTAGTATGTACGTGGCTATGTGTGTAGATGTAACGGTTAGCGTTTCGTGTCCCTCTTCGACGCTAATTCTTTCTTTTACGAATTATTTTCTGATCGATCGTTAATTTTAATTACGCAGCAACTCGATCCGTTATGTTCTTAAATCAATGGATTGTATATGAACGAAATCGAAAATTTTCATTTCGCTCGAGATATTATACAAGACGCGAGTCAAATGTATCGGCGAATCGGCGGGCATCGTTATTTATGCGTTCGACAGAGCGGCAGCGCCAAGAACGTGTACCCGAATCGTGGAAATCCCCTGGGCTTATTACGAATTTACGAACAACCTCTCGAGGGAAGCATTGCAATCTATCGGGGCTGTTTGTTGTCGCGTTACATCTGCGCGCTTTTGCCCCATACAGAAATCCAAAAGGCCGCCGTTTGTCCCACCCTATATTCGTGGACGCGGCGTAGGGGACCAGATTCACCCCAGAGTCCATTATTACCCGTGTATTGTATTGCTTAACATTGACTCAATTGCTTTCGAATAACGCGGACGGCTCTCTCTCCGCCGCGTACGCTCGCTTTTGCCCTCACGGCCATCAATCGAATTATTCGATTTACTGCTCTTTTCGAGGGGAGGTATAGAGAGAGAGAGAGAGAGAGAGAGAAACGCTGACCTTCCTTCCGCCATAACTCAACCACTGTCAAATCTGTCGAGGACCAGTGACCGTAATTTTGCACAAGTTACAAGAATTTGCATTAGACAGCATATATATATATACGATCGATCTATAATCACACCCGATTACTTTCTTCCCAAATATCCAATCCCATCCCGAATTACGATCCATCGGAACGCACCAAATACCAAAATTCCGTACTTCTTCTCCGAGGGTGAATGAGATCCCGAAAATGAGCTCTAACGAAATCCGAGGCAACACGAGAGCCAGGCTCCGAGTCGGAACAGAAGAGAGGAACGCGGGGGAGGGATAAAGCACACGATTAACTCGGCCGATCGAATCGTAAAATTCAAGCAAGTTCATGGAAGCAGCAAGCGCAAACCGGTGTGTGCCGGTATGTTTGAAACGGGGCAGGGGGGGAGGAGGGTTTTATAGCGGTCCAGGAGCGAACCCTGGTCGAATGGTCGGGACCGTCGGCCGGACAATCACAACTTGACAGGGAGGTTTAACGAGCCCTATGCTACCTACCTACCTACCCATCCTACCCCTCGGATGGTCATTTAATTATTCGAGATACGTTGGACCTACCATCTACCCCCACCACCCTCGTCCGTTCCTCCCCCCCCCCACCACCACCACGGGCCTGGAATCGTTGGGGCTAGTCTCTCGTCCTCCTCCTCCTTCCACCACCACCACCACCACCACCACCACCGCCGCCGCTAAAAGGGTATACTCGTCCTCCCTCCCCTCGCCAATCCACCCACCGATACCCGTCCCACGTGCTTGTTTCTATATTAAACCGGCGGGATGGACGGGAGATAATAAAGACGTATAATGGAATCGAAATTGTTTCTCTATCTATCAATGCCATACACCGTCTCTATGCGCGATGGAGGAGGAAGAGAGGGGGGAGGGGGGGGAGGAGGAGGAGGAGGGCCACCCGCCCGACAGATTCAATTTAGTTTCGCGTGGCCACGTTTAATTTGTGTCTTGATTCGGGGAGGAAGGGTAATACACACCACGTATGACCTCCCTGACGTGTAGATACTCGGCCGACGTTGAGAGATAGAGAGGAGAGGAGAGGGAGGGGGGAGGGGGGGTCCAGTAGTCGTGTGCCCCGATTGCCTACGAGTCGGCCTATGATCTCGTTAAATCCCTCCTCGTTTTCGCGTGTGACGCGAATGGTTGAACACGGAGACCGCAATGCAGATGTCCGGTTTGATTGCAGACGACAACCGAGACCTGAACGATCATCCTGAGGACGATCTGAAGAGGCAGAGAAGCAACTACAACGGCGATCAATTGTACTCGAACGTACGTATATACAAGTTTCATATATATATATATATATATGTATCTAAGTTTTCATCCCTCGCTCCTTACATCCATTTAACCGTTGTAAAACTTCGGCTAAAACTATCTCAAAGAAGCAAGAAAGAATCAGGAAAGTAGACTTAACACCTAAGTCGATATCCCTCTCCCCCCCCCGAGCATTCTTAGGGGGAGGAGGGGGCGAGTCGAGTCGAGGCCCCCCGTTCTTCTTTCTCCGCCTCGACACTCGAACTTTGCCTCCTTAGCATCCGGCTTCTGTTGCAGCTGTGGTCGAGTAAATGGAGCATCAAGGACGAGCACAAGCTCCTGAGCGAGCTAGGAGGCGGCGGGGGCGGAGGTGCGAGCGGTGGCGGTGGTACGAACGGGACTGGAACCGGCGGAGGTGGCGGTGGCGGCGGCGGTGGTGGCGGAGGTAGCGGCGGCGGAGGCGGAGGTGGCGGAGGTTACTACGAACACGGAGGATTCCCCGGGAACGCGATTGCCACCTCCGCCGAGCTCTACGACTCCCTGGGCACCATCAGCACGATGACGCAAGCGCAAACGCCCCATCTCTACACCCCGCCCATAGGGGGCACCATAGGTGAGCGACTCGTTCTTTCTCTGTTTCACCATCCCCTGCACACCCTCCTTTCTCTTCTCTTCCCCCCACAATCTCGCACAAAATCCTGGACAGTGTGTGCACCACAACCCCTTGTATATATACATATATATATATATATGTATGTATGTATGTATATAATACAACGTAGCAAGCCCCTTTTCCTAGCAGTCGACCTGCTAGCAAACCACCATCGTATCCCTTCCTTCATCGTGCTCTCTCTCTTTCTCTCTCTCTCTCCTCTCTCTCTCTCTCTCTCTCTCTCTCTCTCTCTCTCTCTCTCTCTCTCTCTCTCTCTCTCTCTCTCTCTCTCTCTCTCTCTCTCTCTCTCTCTCTCTCTCTCTCTCTCTCTCTCTCTCTCTCTCTCTCTCT